GAGGCATCCTAGGTGGTCTATCCACTATGTCTCCTAGCTCAGACAATCTGGGTGGTAGGTTCTGACCTACGCCCATTCTTAGTGCAGAATTTTAACAGCTAGGCAGCTCCTGGCCTGCAGAAAAGTTCATGACAGAAAGATACAAGACTACATTCCTCATTCAATTAGAACTATGGATTGCAAAGCTAAGCATCACACCATTCTCAAATTCCCATTTCATAAATGAAGAAATAGGTGGATGGAGACAGGGAATGGCTTGTGTATGGTCATTGGGTCAGTGGTAGTAGTTAACAGAAAACTTGTGTTTCCTGACTTTGAGATCTTTCCAAGTGCTTTTTGTATGTAAACTCTTCTCATTTCAAAACTAGGGCTTTTGATTTCTAGTCTTCTGTATTTCCCAGTTCATTAACAGCTGGGGCATCTGAAAAGCACTGTCTCGGGAAGGAGTTTGCCTTGGATCAAGTCTCTGCCCATGATTAAAGCAAGGTGTATAGCTTGCAAGGACACATAGCATAATCTCCCTATGTGTTAGTTTCCTCACCTAACAAAGGAGAAACAATAATAATTATCCAAGGGATTGTCATTTTGATTGAAATTATGCATAGTAAGTATAAGGCATAGTATAAGACATATGACAAATCAAAACTATGTTTGCAATTACTATTCCAGAAGATGGAGTGTTAAAGAGGTAACACAATTTAGACGGAGAGACTGCTTTGGGAAATGGCTTATGATAAATGAATACTGTGATATGGAGACAATAGGGGATCAATAAAGAGTAATCAAGGAACTCATATAGGTTCCTGAAAGAAACAAATGCATGCTCCCATAGTGTATGAAGCTCTCTCGCTTACTCCTACAGGAYTTAAGTGTTTTTTATTTTATCTTCATAGCAACATGGACAAGAATCATATCTGAATTAAAAGATAGAAAAAGAGACCCAAAGAATTGAGGTCAATTAAACCTATAGATTTCACATAGGTTTTARTTGACAATATTATAATATTAGGTATATGCCAAAAGTTTAAATATTCACTTAAATAAATATTTAAGCTTAAGTCACAGGTGTGTAKCTACTTTATGTGCTTTTAATATTCTTAAGATAATGATTTCATAATCTGCAACTAATTTTTAGCATAAGATTGTGCACCAAATTTGATATAGACTTGCCATCAATATGACATTTCTGAGGAGGAATATTAAGGAAATCATATCAATGAGGAATACCAGTATTTTTTTCCTAATGATCAGAAATGCAAACCTAAGACAGATGTTTTGTTTGAGATATTTGTGAAAGAATGATGGCTAAATGCTGCAAAAAGTTTTTTTTTTGTGTGTGTGTGTGTGTGTGTGTGTGTGTGAAAAAACAAAACAACCTATTAACACCAGCCAAATAACCCATTGATTTAAATTTGTTAGTTAGAAACATGAAATTAATCTGAGAAGCAGTTCGAAAATTGGTGATCAAGCATTAAAAATTAACTATTAAGATTTTAAAAGAAAGAGACAGAAACTTAAAAATCGCATTCCAAGTGCTATGACAGATATCAGAAGTAGCCAAACTAATCACATCTCAGGTGAAGTGCTGAAGTTTTAGTTGCAAAGAAATAGTAAATGGGAGGTTTCCGCTTAGTGGCAAGTTCCCATCGCTGCACTAAAGGAAAAGGTTTTGAGCTGGAGAGTGCCTTTGGATCTAAGAATATCCTGACAGTGTTGGTAAGACTGGGGAAGGAAGACAGGATAAGTAGGAAGCAAGCCAGAGGCTGTTTCAACCATCAAAGTTGAGCTGCTTATGGCAGCAAGAATGTAGAAAAGCAGATGAGAAAGCCTTCTCCGGCAGATGCAGGTCCACCTGGAGACGGAAGGTGCAGGCAGGGAAGGAGTTCAATGGCAGTGTAAGGCTTTCCAGATGGTTTCAGAAGCCGCTGAAAGGAACAACTTGACATAAATGTCCTACTTTTAGACCAACCATAAAACAGGTTCTAACCTCTGGCAAAGTCCTCAGAGGCTGCTAGTTTGTCCCTCTGAAAAAATTCTATTCCATCAAAAATTCTATTCCATCGGGTTCTTAACAAAGGAGCCCATGTTTAGCATTAATTTTGACTTTATGTGGGAGAAAAATGTACTTTCAACACAGGAATTTTCGGGGTAGCAAAACAATCATTTTAATAGGAGTTGCACCTGTCCTCTTTCCTCTACTGTTTACTGAAAAAGTGACTTGGACTTCTGTTTTCCTACCAGAAAACTTAGGATAACAGTCCTTGCCTGCCCAGCAGCTGCTGTCAGTCTTCAGTGAGATAATGATACATGAGCCTTGCAAACCCATTTGGAGGAAGGAGGGTCATWAAAGTCCCTCTACCAATCTGATGGGTCCTATGTGCTTCTGATAAGGATACAGTTGACCCCAGGGTAAAGATAATGCTGAGATCCAGAATCTTAAAAAGTTGGAATGGGTCACCCAGAAAAAGATGACGTGGTGGAGAAGAGATTGTTCATCAAGCTGTGGCCATGCACATGTGAGCTGGTGGACCTGTATTCATGAGTTTACCTAAGCAAAGTTACAAGCAGTYACCTGTCATTCCATCTCTTCTATTAAAGAGAACATAGCATCACTCCAATGAAGGAGAATGTTGATGATTCAACATTGACAACAATAGGTTAACACTTACTGTTTATCACAGGCTGGGAACATACGTGTTTTATATCTGTTCTCACCTTCAACCTGTAGGAAAATGATRTGAGGTCAGGTTTATGATTGATTTGAAATAGGCTCAGAGAGGTAAAACACCTTCCAGGGACTTCCTGGTGAAAAAGATGAARCAGGACTCAAACATGTGTTTGCTTGTCTCTATGTTGGTGTTTATTGAGAGGGAGGAGGAAGTTGGTATTTATTGAGAAAGGAGGACTAGCTTAGGGAGGAGAAGGAAAACATTCACAAAGATTAGCCCACTACCTTAAATATTATCAGCCACAAATCATTTGTGACACACATCACCAGTGAAAAACGATATAGAGAAATACTTTTCACACTGGCAGGCTTTCTACAGGAGAGCCCCATCTGCTCAGCAGAGACCTTGTGCCCCCAAATGGCCCGAGATGTAGCCTGAAGCAAATTTCTTATTCTATTCCATAATATAGCCATATTCTTTTAGCATCAAACATGACCTCGTATTTTGGAGCAAAATGAAAGTGTCATAGAATGCATGGCATATTTATTTTGTGCCTTTGGGTATCCCCAGGATTATCACTTTCTCCCCCATCCTACTTCAGTTTTAGAGAATCACCAGAAAAAAGGCATATATTCATTAGCCTAGAGGTGAATAAAATAGACAATAATCTTTAAAAATGTAAAATCTATAATTCTGTCAACAAATTAACACTCCRAGGGTTTACAATACAATCWMTATATATATATATATATATATATATATATATATATATATATATATATATATATATATATCTGAAGATTTTTATGCCATTGCCCACTTAGGTATAATTGACAAAGAATTGACAGAATCTCTAGGAACTTCTGGTCTACCACTGAAATTAGAAGCAGCTAAAGTGCTGCTAATATTAACTTGTTTGGGGGGGAGCGTARTTCATCTGTCATTCTGCTTCTCAACAGAATCCTTCATTGCTCCTAAACTCCAACTTACTCACTGTTGCAGTGAGAATCAGGAGACCTGTGTCTGTGGCCCCTTGCACCTGTTATCTTATTGACCTTATCCAAACAGCCCCAGCCCTAACAGCAGCTGAAATAACAGATGAGCAGGAGAACTTGAAGGTTTTTTTGACATTGTCCTTTTGTTTATAAAATCCACCTCCTCAAGTGTGGAATCTGATAGGAATTCTCTTCATAATCATTTAGTGTTTTTTTTTCCCATGGTACTTTTTTGTTATTAAGATGAATAATGGGTTCAGAGAGAGAGAGAGAGAGAGAGATGGAAAACTAGAATAACATCCCCCTTTGAAAATGACCAAAAGGTAAACAAGAGTGGAGATGTAGTTGTGTGTGGAATTGACATAAACATGTATTTGTCTTGGAGGATAATTGGTAATAGCTGGGTTTGTTTGGTGTTTCCTTTGTGGAGAAGTTAAAGACAGGCACCCTGAGGTCTCGAGGTCAGAGGAGATATGTAGTCTTGGCTTATTGGAAATCTGGCAGAAACCAGCCCCTGGAATTTCAATACCAGGACAAGACAATGCTTTGCAAGGGATGAGATTACTAAGTCAGGCTCCAACTAGGGAGACAGAGTATAGGATCTTACTCAATAGCATTGTGGTTATAAGTTGCTTAGCCTCTCTATGTCTCAGGTTCATCATCTGTGAAGTCAATATGAAAATGCTAGTATTCGTGTAGGGCTATTTTGATTCTCAAATGAGAAAATAAATAGAAAAATGCTTAGCCTAGGGCCAAAATTCAATTAATGGATGCTACCATTATTATTTCAGTCAAGAGAGACCAGGGAGGCTCAGGTGGTGGGRAGGATGGAGTCACTGTAAATGCAGCATGAAGAAGGGGTTTGTACAGACATAATGAGGTTTCTGTGTGGGTCTTAAAATGGGAGAAAATGATCAGATAGTGCCCAGAGATTCTGTTAGGATATTTTATCACATCTATAATTTTGCTTATTGTATTTATTTTTTCCTTGATGGCTTTCTCCCAAATGCTTTCATTATTGGACCGCATGTTATCTGATACTTTTCTACCAGGGTTGTTGTCAAATTTAAATTAAAGAGAAAAAGCACCTACACTGTACATGGCCATCAGTCAATTGATGCTAGTTTTTAATTGGTGTTCCTTTTTGGTGCAGTTCATGATGCTTAGCAGAGGATCTTCACCTGAGTAGATAATAAAAAGAAAATATTGAAAACTAAATGTGCATTTGATTTTAAAATGAAAATGACTGATAAAATAWACACAAGAATTCACTTTTCATTCTYTGCCTGTCTGCCCCCACGTTTATATTTGTAATCATCTTCTTTGCATTTTCTAGGGATCTAGAACTTGGCAATATGTACCAGTACCGGGTTATCACCATTTCAGGAACTGAAGAAAGTGAGCCATCACCTGCTRCCATATACATCCATGGGAGTGGATACTGTGGTGATGGCATTATCCAGAAGTAAGTAAGGACAGAGGGGGAATGCTAATTAGGCCAAGGGATGGTCAGGGTGCTGAATAGAGGAGCTAATAAGATACTGAGTCCTGAGTTACCAGTGATCCCCAGCAGTCTATCAATTGATCTTCAAGCAATTTGCTGATCTTGGAAGAAAATCAGTGACTTTTTTTTAAACACATGCATTTCTCAAGGATGCAATAGAATACATGATCTACACAGAACTACCAGGATACATTGACTGCCATTTTGCTCTAATTCTCCATTGTTTTATATGTAATACCAGGATTCTACTCATCTTTTTTTGTCATTGTCCACACACAATTAATGGGATGCAGTTATTCTACGTTAAAACACGTTTACATTYTGTGCTGGCTGGCCACCATTTACATTTGTTAAAATTGCACATCAAAAATTTAGAAAATGGTCCAAAGGCTTATAAAAATAGCAAAGTGTAATGTTGAAACATAAATAGCAAAAGAGGTTCTAAAGTGAATATTTGATATGAGTACACCAAAGGAAATTAATCATCGAGTAAARATTTCACCCCAAACTGAAAGTATGATTAGAAAATACACAGGCATGTATCTAAGAAATTAATTGCATGAGATTATCAGTTCATTCATCCTGTTGCTCTCAGGGCAAGATGTGACACAACTACCAAATAGGGGCAAGAAGCAATCAAGAAATTTGCAATATTTAAAAAAATCAATAAATAAAKCTTCTGATACTTTTCCCTCCAGAAAAAGCACAAAAATCTTTTCTGGAACAAAATTGAGAGTTTTATCCCTAGAGGTGGACTAGAGACCAATAATAATTCAAAATTAAGTTTCTTGTTGCTGAAATTATGGTCCTTATTGCTAACCTATTTATTTGCAATTCACAAAATCACTGAGACTTTTAAAACTATTGACAGATTTAATGACAAACATTATGTGCAGAGATGGCAAAACAAGCTACTGGCAAAATTCCTTCATTAAATGGCCCTGCTGGGTGTCACATCATATCCGTGTAACATGGAATTGCAATTTCTATCGCTGTAGAGGGAGGGGCAGTGAGAGAGAGCATTTGCTTCACGGTTGGAAGAAACTACTGATGTGCAGAACATGCRTCAGCTCATAGGTACAGTACATACGTGAAAGAGAAGTTCTGGATGATCCTGTTAGTCAGTAACATGGATGCTGCAAGGAGAGGGGCAATTTCATGTGTTACGGATGATCATGTCATATGTGATGTCAAYTGGAAGCCTGTATTGGGATGAAAGGACCAGTTAGGAGTAGAGCAAAAATGTCACAGCTCTGCAAATAAGAAGAGTTGGCACACAAGTGGCACATAGACATGGTTGTTGGCCAGCAGAATGCTTTCTGTTCATGACTGAGCAATGAAGTACCAACTACTGCAAAYACAATCAGATGAGTGACATCTTTCAACTTACTTTGCATAAAGGTGGGAGTGTGCTACAATCTGCCTCTCCACCATTGAAGTATATCAAAGGTTAATGGAGAGTATTAACTCAAGGTTTTGAAATAAAGAATTACATTTTTTTGAGAGAGAGAGAGAGAGAGAGAGAGAGAATTTTTAATATTTATTTTTTAGTTTTTGGCAGACACAACATCTTTGTTTGTATGTGGTGCTGAGGATCGAACCCGGGCAGCACGCATGCCAGGCCAGCGTGCTTGAGCCACATCCCCAGCCCCAAAGAATTACATTTTAATACCTTAAATATATTTCTGTCTCATGTTTTAAAGCAAATGAAGTTCACATGTTGTCTGAACAAAACATGTTAAAGCCCACTTGCTGGACCAAATACAAATTGTAAAYACCCAAGGTGTATTTTAGTTATTCTGATAAAATGATCTTYGTAAAAGTTGTGCTTTCTTCAGTTTTTAAGACTCAGATAATTATTTAGTAAACATGAATTTACACCAAATTTATATCTTTTCAGAGGGGAATTATCTGAATTTTTCTCTGGTATCTGTGAAGATTTTATTTCTATAATTTTTTAAATTAAAAATCAATTTTTTTTCTCATTAGAAAAATACATTGGCACTAATAAGGCCAGTAACAATTATTTGTATGATTTYAAGTGGCTTGCTAAAGCAGTATCTTTCAAGAATATATATTTATGTCTTGGATGTCCTTATAGGTAWAATTCCAAAACAGAATTGTCAAATAGTGAGGAGATAATGTAAGCATTTTTAAGTATTGAGTTGTGATACAATCACCTAACTGCCAAGAGTTTGAGCATAGATTATAAATTTTCTCAYCCCATGATGAAACCCCATGACATATTATGAGTATTTCAGATCTATATCCAAGGACTGGGGATGTAGCTCAGCGGTAGAGCACTTGCCTAGCCTGTGCAAGATCCTGGGTTCAATACCCACAATTGTTTTTGGGGGGATGCTAATTTAGCTAAAATAAGTTTTAAAAAGGAACTCACCAGAGTTGGAATCCTAAGCTACAACCCAGTCTATCCATTTTGGAAACAGATATAGATACATTGATAAAACACTGCAAACAATGTCATTCTTGTTGCTGATCTGAAATTGTTATCACCATCATTAATTTTACATAATATTCATAAATTAATAGGAATTTTAAGTAATTTTACCTAGAATTGGTATCTTTTATACACATCAAATACTTAACTTACCACAGATACCAAATACTTCTTTGCACAGTATACAAAATTGGATGCAGCTTAGAGATGTTCACTTAAGGAAAAGAAGGAAGGCAGAGAGGAAGGAGGTATGAAGGAAGGAAGAAACATTGGGGAAAAGGAGGGGTATCATCCTAGCTATGGGTAAGGGAATTTGCAAAGAAATTTATGTAGACTCAGCACTGGATGACATCTCCAATGGACAAACACTTTATTGTAAATGTTCACAGCAACAGATTCTTCTGGTTCCTTATGTAGCAAAAGACAAAAGCACTGGACAGATACTATAATCACAACACTTATAAACATTTATTGGGCCTCTACTATGCACAAGGTATTGTGCTACATTATCATCTACTTGCATCTTCCCAATAACCATATGAGGTAGGTCCTATTAGCATATTTTATAGAAAAGACAACTAGTTCACAAAGAGAATAAGGCCGTTTTCTCAAGCATATCCACCCAATAATGGATTGAACCAATATATGAACTGAGGACAAAGGTTGTTGTCTGAATTCATCATCCCATTACTGTGTAACATGAAAACCCTACAAAACTAGATAGTAAAGGAGTGGCTATGTATTGTCTGCTAGATCTCAGGCACTGTAGCAGGTACCAGGGTACTAGGATGACAGAGACTCTATCACTCCCTTTGGCATCTCACACTCTATTATAGAGGCCTCTCAATTAATAAGCAAAGGTATCAGTTTGACAATTGCCGTGATAGATGTAACAAGATGTCTATGAAGACAGAGAATGGCAGCCACCCACTCCAGCCTGAGAGGTCAAAGAAGGTTTCTCAGAACTCCTCTATCTAATGAGAGATCTATCATGCCCASAAGATATTCCTGGTGACCCTAATGTTTTGTTTAAAATAATAGAACATGCCAATTGGGTGGTAATGGAAGGCAGATTGGAAATATTCTTTATAGCATAACCCAGGTTTAAAAATAAAATTGTGTATCTCCTCAGATAACCCAAGAAATAGCTGAGTAGCAGGTCACCAGCAATTTCCAGGCTGTAAGATTCACACACAGATTGCTGGGACTGTCTAGGAATATGAACTTCTTTGCTCATGGGTTTGCAGACAGGAGAGAACCTGGGAGGCTCTTTGGAGATCAATGCAATGTCCTAGGCCATCTTAAGGATTGATTGCAAGGCACTGTCTTGCTACCCTGACACCTCCTAAAAACAACAAACATAGCCTAGTGTTAATTGCCCGGGTAAAAGGAAAAGTCTGAGGCCTCTTCCATCCTGTGACAGGTCCCAGCTGGTCTCTGGGGAGGGAGAGCCAATTGCCCACCCTCTGCAGAGACCTCCCAAGGCAAAGTTGGAATGGGAACTGTGATTTCCTGAGCATCCACTGTATGCCACACACTGTGCCAGCACTTTCCTTCCGTTTTGGAACCCAACTCTACAGAGTATGCAGATCATCTCCATGGAACACAGGAGAAAACTGAGAGGTAGCATCTGAGAATCACTGTTCAATGGATTTTTCTGCAATGATGGAAGTATTCGGTGCTATCCAACACTGGCCACCAGCCATATGCAGCTRTAGCATACTTGCTATGTGTCTACCATGATTGAGGAATAGGATTTTAATCGTATTAACATTTAATGGATTTAAAGTTAAGTCATCACAGAAAGATCAGATAGAGAGGCCAAACCACTTATATAAGAATGGAGAGTTAGTGTGGAGCACAGGGATTCAGCCCAAGTTTTCTGTTTCTAAAAGGATGGGAACTTTGCAGAAAACAAAAATTCACCCAGGCTCTCTGTTTTGGTTCCTCCTTCTCCCCACCTTAGCCCAATTCAGAAAAATGAATGCTGCTCATTTTCTCACTGCCCCAACCTCTGCAAAATCATCCTAAGGTGATGGAAATAATTCCAAGAGAATAAAAAGAGGGGGCATTTTTATTCCTTCACAGCACAGTCCCACAGGCCTCTGAGTTCTTGACACCATGCAATGACACACCCAGTGAAGAAAATAAAACTTTCCAGAGAAAGGGTGACTGCCATGAATGTGTGAATGAAACACCCAGAAGGAGTGGAGGAGAAGCTTTGACATTACGGGGACCTCCACTCTCCTCATATCCACTCTTTAGAAATCAGAAACGCTAGAAGAGCAGTAAGATGTTCCTAGACACAGTGGGAACAAGAGATCTGTGCACATATTCCTTCACTTCTTCCTCCATTTCTGACTCTCAGCTGACTTTAGAATTTAACTGACAAGATTTCAAAGGATAACTTTGAAGCAGAAATTCTGCTTCATCATCTCAAACACAAAATCAGGCCAATGTAATTGTATTTTCTACCTCTGTACCTTTTATCGACATCATTTGAAGATGAAGAAATGGACTCAAGTAAGAAAAAGGACACGGGAGAGGTCCCCGGAAGCTTCATGGGCCATGGGGCGAGGGGACTTTTGCAGCCCAGCCTTGGTTCAGAAACTGATCTGGAAAATTTCTCTCCTATGTCCACTGTGCAGAGACCAAGGTGAAGAATGTGACGATATGAATAAGATCAATGGTGACGGCTGCTCCCTGTTCTGCCAGCAAGAAATCTCCTTCAATTGCATTGGTAAGTCTGCCATGTCTCTGGGCCTGGCTGATTGGTCATTTACAAGGGTAACAATGACTTTGACTAAATGATGACTTGCCCCTTGGTTTTACACGTTTATTGAGTGCCTCCTATGTGTCAGGCACCAGGGAATACATCAGTGGGGGTGAAAAAAAAAGGCTAAATAAAGTGCAAATGTTCCTACCATCAAGAACTTAGGCTCTCATAGATAATGACAGGTAACTGACTTCGATCAGGCTCTACTTTACAAATGCTATGGCTTTTCTTCACACCACCTGTTCAGAATGGCTATTACTATAGATATGTAGGGCTTTTTGTTTTTGAAGATGACAAGAATCAAACATCAGGGAGATGATAGAACTTGGCCAGGTCAGAAGGATTGAAGGCAGAACCCAGACTTGAACCTGATTTTGTTCAATTCTCAAGTTTGTACTCAGATCATTTTGCTGCACATCCTCTAGCCAGGATCCAGAAGTTGCCAGGGTCCTGGATGCAGACTTAGAACCCTGGGGAAGTCTCTCTGATCTGAAGGAGGAGATAGAGCAGACCAGTCTGTGTTTAGAAAGCAAATGTCCTTTTCCCACCTTTACCGAATCAGATGGGAAACGTGTTTTCCTCTGCCTTCTCCAGAGTCTGGCCGATCTTGTTGTTTCAGCCCCACTTGGGAGGCCCAGGCCAGCCTGGAGCTGCTAAACAGACAGGGGTTGGGGGCAGGGATGGAATTTTGAGCTGGCCCAGATGAGATCATACTTCCTTTAAGATGCAAATCGATACCTGAAGATCAAAGGTCCCCCAGCTAATCCCCTGGGCTGGAGGTGAAAACTAATCACAATTCATTTGCAAGTACAAAAGACAGAGGTGCTCTATCTGAAAAAGGAAGGGGCAGCTACAGAGGGGATGAAAACCTCGGTGGGAAGATTTCTCACTGAAAGGCAGTTTTCTAGGGGGACGAAAGGGAAGGAGATGTCATCGCATCCTTGCATCTGCAGCGCATTACAGGGGTGTTTAGACATTCTTTCTCCCAGTAGATGSCCTGCCCTGGGGGTGAAAAACATGCAACCTTTTGTTCTGTTCCCAACACACATTTATTGAGCACCTACTATTTCCTTGGCACCAAGTAGGGGCTGCACAACACAAGAAAGGTGTTCTGCAAACATTTGTGGTTGAAAAAAAAAAAAAAAGGAAGACAGAGGAGCTTCGAGGCAGGGCCTTTGGCTAGGAAATTGGAGAAGATTGTTYTTCTCTTCTCTCTTGACTAGACAATGGTTCATAGTAATAAAGCCTGATGCTCACTTAGTATGTGACAGAAAGAACTTTGGATTGAAATATATATCAGGTTCTGGTCCTAGCTGTGGGAAGAATTGGTATAATGCTGGCCAAGTGGCTTCCCTAGGCTAGGCCTCAATTTACCTCTGGTACATGGAGATGATTGSGTTAGCAGGTCTCTAAGAACCTGAATGTATTTCTGTGGTGTGGCTTCCAAYGTGTGGGGCTGAGTTCCTCATAATCATGAGCTCTCACCTTCACTGACATGACAACCAACATTACTGGAAAATATTGACCCATGTCACTCACTCCAATGTGACATGTAAACTCAAGTGGTTCTGGAAAGAAGGTAGGAAGTGGTGAAGGTCAGATATGGTGCTATAAAGAGATGCTTGAGCCCTGATTTCCATACCATGTTGCTTTAGAACTGCCCTTTCCAACAATACACGAAAACAAGAAATATTCTTGCAAACTATGATCCACAGGCAAGAACCAAACAGCCACCTGTATTTGTAAATAAAGTTTGTATTGGAATGTAGCAACGCTTGTTTATTTCCATGTGGTCTATGGCTGCTTTCATGCTATAACAGAGGTGAGTGGTTTCAACAGATGACTCAAGGAGCCCAAAATATTCACTATCTGGCCCTTTACCATGTGTCAACCCCTGGTCCATGGATGTGGTCATTGCAGCCTGATGTACAAGGTACCATTTGTTAGAAAAGTCACAGCATTTTGCATGCACAGTGGTGGGGACGGGAGGAATCTGGTGGGAAGAACACCAGATCTTGGGTCTCATCCCAGGTTTCTTTGCTTCCTTGTACCTAGTCTGCCCCTTCTACACTTTGGCCAAAGTGACTCTTTTGGACTAGATCAGTGTTCTTCAAACTGTGTTAACTGAAATTCYGGAGAAAGAGATGAAGACAAGGGAGTGACCAAGAGGATGAGACCAGGACCCTCTTAGGTCATTTTATAGCTTTTTATTCTCCAATAGGTTCCAGTAGATGGCCTGCCCTGGGGGTGAAAAACATGCAACCTTTTGTTCTGTTCCCAACACACATTTATTGAGCACCTACTATCTCCTTGGCACCAAGTAGGGGCTGAGCAACACAAGCTACTGACCGTATTTACTGAACATCTGTTACATTCCAAGCACATTTAAACTCTTACTCTTATGACAACTCATTCATGCACTGCTTTTCCAAAATGTATGTGGAGATCCGGTGTGATAAACCAAGGCTATAGAGTTAAATGGTAGAAGTCGACTGAAACCCTGAGCATCCGGGCCCAGAGCACCCTCSGTAAGCTAGTTGCAAAAACACGATAGCTCCTGATCTTGCAGGGCTTTAGGTGTTGTGAGCAATTCTTGTAACAAACTAGTGCAAGGTAATACAAAATGGGCAGTAGCAGGAATGTTGTCCAGGGAAGGTTCTTTCTTACCCCTGTATATTGAGGGCCATTTGTGGCAGAGGAAGCACCTCGCTGTACCCTTCACTGGCCATTGGAATCTCATTATGGATACTGTCCAGGAAGAGTGGAGTTCATCCAGAGGTTCCAGCCCTCGGGGACTACACTCTAAGGACAAACTCCATATCTTGAGTCTAGAAAACTTTGTTCCTCTAAAAGGAACAGCTGAAGGGTAGACAGGGACGGACTCCCAGAAGATCTAGCTTTAGGGGTGAGTCAGAGCAGTAGAACTSATGTGGGAGGCTTTGCCCACGTGGACGTCGTGCTCATCATTAACGTGTTCATGACAGTAGTCAGACAGGATTGCGTGAAACACCATGGCTTGGATGTGTGACCTTGGCTAAGCCTCCATGCTCTCTTCCCCCCAAAACATGAAAGTTCTAGGAACCATCTGGGGAAGATATTTACCAATATTTTTGAATGCTTACTATCTAAGTTTCCTTCCTAGATTTAGGGAATTATCCTCCTAATCTTTGTATTATATGAATTGCTCATAACTCTCCTCCAACCCTCACCAGAGAAGTTGAAATCTAAGCTTCTCCTGCTCCTGGACACCTTTGTTGCTTGAATGTAGACACACAGCCTGGGCTTTCCTTCTGCTCCACAACAGACACAGYAGCCCAACACGTGGAATTGGAAGCTAGGGTGATAACACATAGGGACCCTGCACAAACCATTTGGATGACCATGGAGGGAATGGCCACACCCATGACAGTTCCCAAAGTACCAGGGATAGCTTCTGTCAATGTCCAAGTTGAGGTGACCCAGCAGCAGCCTTGGATCCCTTCGCCAGACCAATTCTAGGACTAAATCTCTAGCTTGGACTTGGCTTCAGAAATACAATCCTGGCTCTCCCGCCCTCCCAGTGAGTCTTCCATAAGCATCGGATATTATTTTGAATAGACGTTCTTAGCTCGCTTTGCTTAAGTTATCCAAAGTTACTTTCTGTTGATGGTTATTTAGATCCTGACTGAAAATTGTCCTCATTAGATAACTGTGTCTTTTCGCTCCGTTCCTGGCAAGTTGGATGTGTGCCATGTGTATTTGGGCAGGGTGAGGTGGGGTGATTGTTGTTGATAGGGGAAGGGATCATCAGAAACAACCACGGTTTGGGGGTAGCTAGGTAGTAGCCCTGCGTTATGCATTCTGGGTTAATGTGAGCCTCGTTTCCAGATGTGAGATCCAGTTCACAGGGCTCGCAGAGGCGTGATCCCATCCACAGACGGAGTAGAGAGCCCTGTTTTTTCTACTGGGCCACTCTGTCTTGCCACATGAATGACTGGCTTCCTCCCTTCCTCCTTCTCTTCCTTCCTTCCACTGCCTGCCTTTCTTTTCTCCTTCTTTCCCCCTCCTTCCTCTCCTCCTCCTCCTCCTCTTCTTTGCCCTGGGTCGTCGTCATCACTGGCCACTTAGAAGGGCTGTTTTCCCTGGGTCAGTAACACCAGCATGAGGGCGGGTGACAGATTTATGGGGACATTCCCATTCACTTTTCAGAAGCCCACACATCCGGAAGTCTTCCCAAGGTGCCAGGGTGCTATTATGCAACACCCTGGGGACTTCCCTTTCCCGCTTTCCCACCCCCAGCCCTCATCCCCCAACACATAAGAAGTTGCTTATTAAAACAAACACCACCCACAAGACCTCTTGGGCAATTCAGGCTGYGTCCCCTCACAAAGTAGGAATTATCTTGTCCTTTTCCCCCTTTTAGAACTATAACATACACCAGACCTGGGGTTTCAGTTAAAAGCGCTGGTATCAGTGCAGTGATAACTGCCCAGCGGGCACCAGCCAGGGAGGCCTGCTCAGCAGAACTGGGAATTCTGTTCTCAGCCACTGCGTCATAAACCACAGACAGGCTACTGATAAAAGCTGAAGGAGGGATGGTCACGATCAAATTAGTCAGACAAAATGTGAGGGGTCCCCAAAAGGGGTTGTGCTTGGTAATATATCCTGAGCCCTAGCTGGAAGCCTGCTACCCTCCGAGCCATTATATCAGCCATTATAAGGGTTTGCTTTTGGAGACTCCCCTGTTGTGTTTTGATTGACCACCCAGCTTAGTCTTAGAAGCTTTGTGTGCACCTCAGTATCTCAGAGCCTCAGTTTCTCGCTTCGTGAAATAAAGTGAGCACTCTCGATCTCCTGAGGAATCCCCAGTTCCTCATTTGGAGTTTCCAAATCTTGCTTGATGCTGATAAATAGTTAGCAAAGTGACAAGGACCTGCATGTCATCTCCCCCCAACCTGCAAGCATTTCCCTCCAGTCCCTTGTCC